AACTGTTAAAATTGAAGTGTGTTTGCATCTAAAAGAAGATCTAGTTCAAACAGGAAATGTGAAGTTGGACCCATTTTTTTCTGTTTAAAATTGAACAGAGAAGATGTAGCTGGAAAAAGGGAAAGGAAAAATGTAAACAGGAGGTATTATTAGTACAGGGAGCTCTTCTCATCCAGTGTATTCTCAACCAGCTGTATTTTAGTTGGGATATCTAGAAGTAAGGATGTTGATCTCAACTCTCTTCACATCTGCAAAGGACTAAAAGCCCTTCGCTTCACCTCACATCTGTTCACTCATTCCAGTTCCAGCTGAATCCAGCTGTGCACTGGCTTTTGGGGCAACAACAAAGTGAACCTTTCACAGTGCTCAAAGAAGAATTCACTTCCATTCTTGGCTTATATTGAGTGATAGAAGAAAAGCCATAAATTGAAGTTTATGTAGGTATAACAACACATTGCTAATCAAAAGCCTTTAAAAATATATATTTCTACAATAAATGTATGTAATTATAATGATGTAATAATGATAGTATGTTTAATTAAGTCTATCTAGAAACATTAAAGAGGAAAAGGGAGGGATTTAGGTCTGGGTTTTCCCTTTGTTGGGGTCTTCCATTTGCATCTCTGTAGCGGGACCGAGTTTGGTTGCTATCGCCGTGTTTCCAAAGGCACAGATGCAAGGTCCTTTCCCATTTCCCTCTGTAAATCCATCAGCAGCGGTTTGGGTGTTGCTTTGGCTGTTTGGAATAGGCTGAAAGGTGCCAGGGAGTTTCTGCTGATGTGGTATTTGGACCCGGCAGCAGCGTTCAGGTACGGGCAGCAAGATCATGGGTCAGACTGCGCCACGGCAGGCAGGCAGACAGACCATAGTCACTGCTGCCATGCTCCAGCTTGCCCCTGCCTTTCACTTCTCTCGTATCTAATAGTTGTGAAGGATTCAAGGACTGTGTGAAATACCTTGTAAACCTGTGTCTTCTGAGCAGTGTATGGCGCCTGCTGCTGTGGTCTGATTCCCCTGGCAGTGCTTTACATGTGAGAAGTTGCTTTCCTTCCCCATTAGATGCGATGGGACAAAGTTCTGTTCACTTATTCTTGCTGGCACATCTCCTGAACTGACAACCCTCAAACACAAGCTTTGTGTGTTTCCTTCGTACACTGCAGACACAACACTCTGCATCTCCACATCCCCTGTCAGCAGGACCATCCCTTTTGGTTCATTTGTCAGGATAGCCTTGCTTCCACTCGGATAACTTATCCCAGCTCGTTCAAGGCCTGGATGTCACTTGCCCACCCCTTGAAGGCATTTGTTAGAGGGGGAGGGTGTTGCTTCTGTGAGCTGTTCCCAGTCTGGATGGATCAACTCTGGGGTCAAGGGCTGGGGGGGAGCCCGGGGCTCCCGGAGCTGGGGTGATGCCCAGGGACTGAGGGCCAGGCTGTGAGGTGAGTATTGCCCATGGAGGAGTGGGAGAGGAAGAACACAGGGCTGAGGGTGGATGGCGGCGGCGGGAGAAGGTGTTCTGAAGGAGAATAAGGATCAAAGTGGTTTCTGTGAGGCTGAAGCTGACCGCAGTGTGGGGAGAGAGGGGGTGCAGAAGATCGTTTGACATTAGGACAGTGAACTCTGCCAGGAGCAAAGGTACACGATCAAAATGCTGCTCCCTGTGAAGCGTTCAACTTCACAGAGACTTGTTAGAAACCACCGACTCATGGACACCAAAGTAACCCATAATAACCGAGGCAGCCTGCGAGCCGGGTGACCAAACTGACCCGGGTGAAGTTACAACTGCCTTTGTGAAGAGCTCGGCTCAAAATCTTGAACAAATGTGGTAAATCTGTATTAAATTTAGCATTTGAGGTGCTAATTTAGCATCTGTGGTAACACCACATGAGAGTGCTGAGACCATTGTAATATTAAAGCTGGCTGCTGTTAATGACGCTAAAAGCAAACGCTCATTTACACGGAGTATCATCATCTTAATCCCTTGGGCTTGTGAGGAATAACTCCAGAAACACTAATGGAAAACTCCCAGGGAAATGGGGAGTTGGAAAAGGTTTGTGGCACCAGTGTAATACCGCTTGGAAGGGTTATCTTTGTGCATGTCCCATCTTAACAAATGAATGCCATGTGGTATCTGGTTTGTGCTTGTCCCAGGGCTTTTTATTCCTGAGTGAAAAATTCCTTCAATTCTGTCTCCAAATAAGAGGAATTTAATAACAGGCTGTAAAGCCATGTATTTATATCTGAGATCCATTTTTGTAATACATTAAGAGATAATTTAAAAGAAGCCCCAAATCAGTATAATCTCTATTAGCCTGACTCCATTCTAACAAGTAATTATGCAAATTCCAAAGGTCTATTTATATGTGGTTTATTGGGCTAAAGAGCTATGTCATATTACAGGATCCCATTAAAATGTGGCTATAAAACACTTGGGTTTTCAGAACTGATCCATGGAAGAAGGTGCCTTGTACCCAGCAGATACGGTTACAAAGTGTGTTGTGGAAATGGCAAAGTCAGTGCAAATGAGTTTTGTTCTGTTTCCCCAGTCCTTCAAGATGCTTACAAAATGTGCTGCCTCTTGGGCACAGGCTTCCTTGGGATTGTCATGGAGGAAAAGCATGCTAAAATAGATATGTTTTTCATAATCTTTGAGTCTTCAGGAATGGAATTTTCCAGTGTCCCAGCAGGAGCCCTGAAGTCTCTCTTTCTTTCATACTGTGCGTGAAAAATAACTACTTGTGGGAAGCTCCATGGACATCTGGATGTGCTTGTTGGACTTGGACAGAGTGATAGTCACAGTGCACGCTGGGGATCCCCTGAAGTGGGCACAGTGTGGGCAGGGAGATGGTCACTTCCACCTTGTTGAAGTGTTTTGGTAGGAGCCAGTCGCAGCAGGAGCTCCACTCACAGCAGCGTTCCCCTCTGAGTCCCACTCCCAGTAGGAGATACTGTCACAAGTGGTGTCACCCCCTGATGAGGCCACTGGAACCAGTCAGATGCCACCCAGAAGCACAGCCCCACGTGTATTGCTGTAGGTATTAACACTCATTTCAACTGAAGTTTCTAAGCAGTCAGTGCCCTTATTCTGTGTAGAGAAACTGAGGTACGTGGTGTAAAAATGAGGTAATGCACACTGGATATAAAGGGTATGTGAAAGTTTGGGTGGTTCTCACTGGGTTTGGGGAGTTTATGTCCATACTGATGTATAGCAGGATTGATAAAATCCTCCGCTGGATGCTGCCCAGTCTCTTGAATTTGATCCTGCCTTGTTGGACCCATTACTCTTGAGTGTTCCTTGGGATTTATAGGCTGCAGCACTGACTCTGTCCTTGATTTCTTGGGCACAAGCTCTGTTACCATATGGAAATAGGACCGTGCATCTCCATTGCCCTCAGGACTGGTGTTCCGTAGACCCTCAAGTGGATTTTATGACACAGTTTGTGGCATTCCAGCCATGTGAGTCCTCAGAGTTAGTAGTGCATCCCTTGGGGTTAGCCTGGGTGAGTAGCTGGGCTTGAACACTCAGGGATTCTGTAGATTCTGTAGAATGGAACTTGATGTAGACTCGACCTTGACCCTCAGAAGTCAAAGCTGCCTGTCCACGCTGAGGAGGAGCAGTGCAATATAGCCATTACCTCCTCAGTTATGATGCCATGAATACCTGTACCTGTTTCTACACCCTCTGGTAGAGATACTCAATTGTTTCGCTCTGCAGAAAGGAATGGTTTAGATGTATGTATGAAGAATTGAGATAGGATCTTATATATGTCTTACCTTTTACTGACTCTCTTAAAACCCTTTGTGGACATAAATAATTAGGCCCACATCCCTCGGGCAGGAAGAAAACTAATCACTTATTTCACTGCTGAGCTATTTGAAAGAGAGGAGTGAAGGCAAACCATGGAGGACTTCACAGCCAGGTATTTGGGGTGGCTCCTGGTTTTTCAGACCATATTAATAGTCAATTAACTTTCAGTGTGTACATGATGCACAGCAGACATTGCTCCTGTATGAAGGTTTTCTGTTCTGTTACTAAAGAGCAATCCCCTGGGCCTGGGAGGGAGTTGTGGCTTTGGAGAGTGTGTTTTCCAAGATCAGCCTGTCTTGGAAGCCTGTTATGTTTATTTCTTGACCAGGTGCCTTATCAAGCTGAGCCTTTCTTGGTTCAGGGAAAGGAACATTCCTGGCAAAATGGAGCACTTAGAGATTATGGCTCTTGTAATGAGAGGTCCCTGGAAGGAGGCAGGCAGAGGAGTTTGCTTTGCAAAGGGAAATGCATAAAATATCTCCAGAAAAAGATGAATCACTGCTGCCTTCAAGTAAATGGCATTCTTACTGAGGGGATTGTCTGCATTATCATGTTTGTGTGTCTGACAACATCTGCTAGGGACTAGTAAGAAATTGCTCTGAAGCATATTATGTGTGTGGAATGGCCAAGACAATGTGACTTTGATACAGCTGTACTGCCCAGACAAGGTGGTGTAGGTATGGGACAGGAACACAAAGCACATGTTGAGGGAAGGGTGGTTTTGTGGGTGAGATATTACTAGAATTCACCAAATTTAATATTTTCTGTGCTGCTAGGCCTGTCCCTACCAAACTCAAACTGTTATCTGCTGCTTTTGCAAGGTCTTCATATGATATCAACCTCCCATGACCATCCCAACTGATGTGCTGATTCCATGTCAGTACTTGTTCATGCCTGCTGCTTCTTCCTTGATCTGCTTATGGTTTACTCATGAACTGAGCCATAGACAAATGAAAAAGGAAGGCAGGCAGGCAGGCACACAGCCAGCCAGAGCAGTAGGCTTTCCAGCTGCTGAATGAAATCAGGGTCTGCAAAGAGCTTGGTTTCAGCATAAGGATGCTCCTGCGGAGTTGTCCGCAGCTGTCAGTGTGAATGCCTGCTCTCACAGTGCCACTTCTTCCTTGCTTCCTTCCTTCCTTCCTCCCTCCCTCCCTTCCTTCCCTGGTAACACTCCATTTATTTTGTCTTACAGTCCCTCGGATCAATGGCCATCCAAAACTGGACCGGCACCGTGAGCACCCCCCTGGCTATGACAGCTCTTCAACCATGATGAGCAGTGAGCTGGAATCCAGCAGCTTCATTGACTCTGATGATGATGACAACACAAGCAGGTAGGGCACTGGCACAATGGCTGAGCTGTTGCATACTCTTTGCATCTGCTTCCCAGCTGACAGCTTTCCTGAAACATGCTGATGGATGTTTCCCCTTTTTCCCACTGCTACGTATGATCTGAGCACTGATAATTCACCAGGAGCATCATGTCACATACAATCACTGCTCTGAGAAACCAGTTAAGTTATTGGGGCCACTCTCTAAGCTGCCATTAAGAGAAAAATTCTGTTCCTGTTCCTTCCTTTTAATAGCAAGAATGATTACATTTTAAGATCAAAGCAATGTGCAACTGTCTGCCTATTTATAAAGTAAGGGTGTGAATATTGTAACAGAATACTTTCAGCAGAGATTCCTAATAAGTATACCCTTCCCTAAAGCTGAGTGGTAAAGGAGTTCCTAGGTAATTGCACAGTCTGAGGCCGATGAGCAGTACAGGAACTCACCCAAGTTAATGCCGTTGCAAAGGCAGGCTGGGATGCCATGTATTTATGACTTCTTCATTATTGTTTTCTTTTTGTGCAGACAGAATGTGAATTATTCCTTGCTTTTTGCAATAAAAAAAGCTCTCCATGTCAAGACATCCTTGTTAATCTCTACAGATATTTCTGTTGTTCCGTAAAAGGTTAATAAGCCAATACATTTCTCAGCTCAAAATCCCTTTTAAAAGATGGAAACTCAGTCAAAATGGATATTCTTCCCTTTCCTGGCAGCAGTGACAGCATTTCTCTGAACGTTATCTCTAGAGCTGTTGTTGAGCCAAATGAGCTGTGAAAACTTATTACAGATTCCTGTTGTCAGAGAACAAGAAGATTACAGATCTCTGGTGGTTCAGAGAGATCTGCAGCTAAAGCAAATAAGGTGCAAGGTGATGTTCTTAAATTGCAGGTAGAATTGAAACAGCAAAGAGAGAGCTTAAGTATCTCTCTTAAGAGAGAGAGAGCTTAAGTATCCAGCTTAAGTATCTGGAGATACTTAAACACTTGCCGTGTTTACCAACAGATTATTTAGCTTATTGATCTCAGTGGATCTGTTTGGGCTTGCAGATAGTCACAGCTTAAAAACCTGCTGGAGAGCAGCACTTCCTTCGAATTCTGTTTAAAGCCTGGGTATTTCCAAAGGGTTGAGAGGGCAACGTAATGAATATTTAACGTTTGCTCCTGAGTTAGTTTCAAGAGCTTATTTTGCAGTTACATTGAAGTTGCCAACACCTGAAGATACAGAAAATTACCTTTCTGGATGCTTTGTACTTCACCTAGATGTTCATGTGCATGAAGAGCTGGCAAGAGCAGTAGTTAACCTGAATGTACTCTAAGCCTTCCTAAAGCCTTTAGGGCTTCTAACCTTCCTTCCCTCCCTAAAATATCAAGCCCACAAAGCCAACAACAAGCCTGCAGCTCATTGAGTTTCTTGTAAATAAATTAATCATTTCCATGGCAGCAAGATATGCAGTAGGGCAGGATTAGCACAGTCAGGGTGGCCTTTGAAGCACATTATACCAGACCCAGCTAAATCTTTCTATATTAATAAAGCAAAGCTTCCTGCGTCTGACCTGAGACGAAAGAGACTCTTCGAAGCTGCTGTGCAGGCCTTTTCCTTTCTAAGTGAGGGCAGAAGCTTTTGGCACATGGAATAGCTGCCAGGCCAGCTAGTCAGGAAGAACAACTAAATGGAATGCTCCAAGGTATGCTGTTGTGATGATGTTCTCAAGCAGATGAGGTATTGTGCTGGCAGGGAGAAGTTTTCTTTAGAGACAAATACAGCCAAGTAGAAAATGGAGCATGCTCCAGATCTGCTGGAGACAGCGGCCTGGGGAAAAAGAGGTTGAAGGGGGTAAGTTTGTTTGATAACAGTGGGTGAATTCTGCTGTCAGAACCTGCCTTGTAAAGGAGATGGTACGTGGAGGAAGTCACTGAGAGAAGAAACGGGATGTAAAGGATGTTACTATCTTGGAAGTGAAGAGGTTGCAAGGTTGAGGATGCTTTTCCAACAGCGTGTGCTTGACTTGGGTTTCTTTTGTTGTTAACTGGGAGCAGTGCAGCAGAGCTGGGCAACTTCCAGCCCAATCCTGTTGGATTTTGTTAGGAAGAACTTTTTGTTTTCAGTGAATGACTGTTCACAGATCTTACAGGACAGGACAGAACCCTTCAAGTGCTGTGAGTGCAATGATTTCTTTCCTTTGTTTTCAAAGTATGATATATCTGAACGTTAGTGCTATTTGTGGGGAGGAGATTGGATTTTGAGTACAGATTGATGTAGGGAGCTCATGGTGAATGTTACAGTAAGAGTCTTATTGCTGCTTCTCTTAAGCAAATAAAGGCAGCTCTGACATTTGTACCTGTAGGATTATTGGCAGCAACTTGCAGTTAGTATTGTTGTTTCAATGTAACTCAAATAATTGATTACATTTGTCATTTAAGAAATTAACATTAGGTTTTGGGGTTTTTCTTTTTTTAAACTATCTGGATAAACTTTCCTTAACAAATTGTGACCTTTTTAACTTCCGTTGGGGAATGTAGATTGGACAAATTCCTATTACTCCTTCTAAAAATCTCTTCTGTGGGATTTATTAGCCAGCAGCAAGCACAGGGAGGTCACAGTTCTGCTTCCAGATTTGTTTTCCATCTTTGCACTTTATTTGTCTCAAAAGCTCAAACAGACCATATTGTTTTGCTCATCAAATTGTAATAACAACTTTAAACTCATTTCTGGGGATACTTCAGAGAGCAAATATTACTCCTCATGAGAATAGGCTTGAGCTGCTGTTCAGCATCCAGATAATCCTGGAAAACTAGCTATGCAGTGTTTATGTGGGATTCAGCCAGGGAGCATTAAGGCTATGGATTTACAAGAAGGGATGATGGAGTGTACTGTAGCTACATGAAAATACCTGTTTCTGCAGTGCCTTCTGATCATTGATTTTGTGCAACTAATGTGAGAGGTTTAGCTCAAGGGGTTTCTTCTCTGAAATATTGTCCCCTCTTGAAGTAGACCTGAGCTGTTGCTTTCCTAAGGAACTGATTCCTATTCTTCCAGTCTAATGCTGAGTAGAATGAAAATAATACCACAGAGAGAACAGCTTCACTCACATGTTATCATCTGGTAACAGACGTTCAGAGATTTGCCAATGAACGCTGGGTTTGCTGGTTTCATTTAAAAGAAAGCACCAAAATGTTCCCTGCTGAGAGGAATCTAAACTGTTGGTATTGAAATTGAGTGAATGAAGTAGTCTGACCCCCAAGCAGTCAAAGTAAATAGGGAGGGCAAAAGTGAAGAAGGAACAAGCTGCTGATATTAGCATAAAGCTATTGTTCAGCCCTTCATCACCTCAGATGTGCTCTGGCTGCCTTTCTGCAGTGTCCTTAGACTTTTCTTCTTCCTTTCCAGTCCATCTTTTTGAGCTCAACCCTGATTATCTCTCTGAAGATAGTAATGAAAATAGTTTCATGTCCTGTACTTGATGATAGATTAAACTACCCCTTCTAAGGGCTCCGAGTCAGGCAGCAGTTCTGACTTCTACCTGTGCTCAATGCTACCTCAGACTAAAAGCTGGGAATAATGGCTCTTTGTTCTTCTGAGCAATGCCGTATTGTGCACTGGAGCAGGAGGAAGGAATTGGCATAACCAGTCTGCCTTGGCAGGCAGCAGGTCTTCTGTGCTCTCTGTGCTCAGGAAGAATATTAATGGAGGAGTAAACTAATGTATGAATTTAATAAACCCTCTTTATCCACAGTAACCATTAGAGGATTGTGACAGGAAGTATTGCCTATTCCTGAAGTGATGCACACTGGGAGAAAGCCAAAAAATACGATATAGCAGTAGGTGAAACAAGTGTGTAAAATGCCAGGATGCTGTGAATGACTTTGAAGTGTGCTTATAGTATCCAGTTTTAAGGTTTTGTCTTTTCTGTTATGGACTAGCTCAGCTGTCTCCAAAACTAGTGGAAAGTCTTGCAGGGCTTTCACAGCCTCGTGTTGTGCCTGCAGAGGGTTTGCTTGCAGAGTGGAGCACTGGCTTCACACTCAGTTCAGTGGGAGAAGGGCGCTCACATCTCCTTTGAAGGTATCCTGTTACTTGGCTTGTGTTTGTGCAGAAAAGCTCCCCCAGTCTTTGGCCTCTTTCCTTTCTGCTGTCCAAAAGCAGGGCAGGTTCACTGTGATGAGCCACGTGCCTGTCTTCAGAGTCTCCTCTGCTGCTGTGTGCTGGGAAGTTTTAGCTGAATCCTACTTATGAGGCATTCTGGGAGAGAAGAGGAAGAGAATGAAATCAGAGAGGAGATAGGAATAGGGAGAATATTGATAATAAGACATAGGAGGAGGGGTTTGTGTCTCGAGAAGGGTGGTGAATGTTGAACAAATCCAGTTTGGGGATCCCTGCCTCTGAGAGAGC